ACCAAATATGCAGAACTAAAATATTGGTTAGGTAATAATACTTTAATCAACACAATTGCAAGCAGTCTACACTCAATAAGTCAAGAGTAGAGATCAATAATAAAAATGAAATGAAGGAATCTATAGTCAGTGGACAAAGATAAGAATGGTTAGACGTTATCTAGTATGGCCCTACGAATCTAACACTAACTTTTAGATTGAGTCATACTGGTAGAATAAAACTTCCTCATTGAAATTAATGAATAGCGTGAGCATAAGAAGTTTAGGTATATATTCCTCAAGAATTTTGTGGAGCCAGTCAGGATCAAGAAAGTAGTCTCAATGTTTTAGTGTTAACTATAGATCTATCAAGATTAATTCAAGTTATAAAAGCATCAATAGATCCTTACAAAATGCTAAATGGTTTAGAACAACACAGTTTTGGATGTTGTTAATATGAGATGAGTGTGAATGAATGTAAAATAAATTGCGACATGGTGTGATATTATCTTGAAACAACGAAAACGCGGTAAGAAATAGGAATCTACACTGATGGCTTACTATATCTAGTCATCGTTTGATTCTATCGTATAAAATGAAACATCACCATAAGTTCGAAAAAACCTAACTCGCTCAAAATCATGTATTTGATAATAAAATCAATGTTTGGATAAACTTGAAATCAAGCATAAAGTAAAGTCATATACTCAGGGACAAGATAAGCTAGAATCCTGAGAGAAGTAACTAGGCTGCTAAAACTTCTAAAACACATTCTATCATAGAATTTTATTTTTATTGAAGAATCTGGATTATAAACTAGTTGTATTTCTAATCTGTGACCACGACTGAATAGCATCCCAAACTTTTGATTATACTTGTATGGAAAATAAGATTTCGAGATAGAAATATTTAAAAATTTCTATGACTACTACTAAGTTTTTATAAAAAACGCAATTGCTTTTAAGATAAACTAATACTGAATTAATTAAATTTAGGGCAAACACATTAGGAAAATGGTCATCGTGAGAGCGTAAAGGAAAAATGCATCTAGCATTATGAATTCCTAATTCTAAATTAACGTCAACAGAATCGGAACAACGCAATATTAATGACAGTAATGAGTCAAAAACTAACGAACACATCTGATAGGCTATATATAAACTGTGAAACTACATGTTCACATTATCTAATAAACGTAGACACTAATAGACTAAACAAAAAGCAATTGCATAATAATAAAACATTGAACAAATCATATAGTACGATATCCAAACTTTCAGACTGAAACCCACCCAATACCTATGATCCCTAATTAAAACTCGTCAACAACAAGTGAATTCAAACCCTTACAGAGAGTTATATGCATTACGGGGTTGTGAAGATTGTTAAGTTACACATGAGGAATCCCATACCAGGACAAAACGGCCGTCCAGTGCTTCCAGGTTTCTAATGGTGGTCTAACATTGATCGATTCATGGTTTCAAAAAAGATAGTTGTATGTTTTCAGCATCCTTTATAGTTCTTATAAATTCAGTGTTCCATTTACTGTTGGCCAATGATATTAAACTAATATTTGTGATCTCTTACCACACTTTCACATAAATTAAGCGTGCAACACCTACACACATTGATAATTTACTTTAAGGTTTTGATTATGAAGTTTTATGGGACTAAATCTTTGTTAGAAACTGATCGGTATCCTATATATTTCAAAAAACTTATACAAAATTATTCAGTTTCGACAGAAATGTAATCATCATCCACCAATTTAAAATACCTAAAAATCCAACTTGAAGTATCGGAACATGAAAGCCTACTATGATCATCAATCCACAAGGAACTAAGAAATGTGCCGATATCATCGAAACGAATGAAGGATTCATCGATACTGCAAAATACACGGATAGGTTGTACGTTTACACAATACACACCACGCACAATCAGTTATCCAGATTAGTACGTATAAAAAAATCTCATGTATTAACACATCCATCTCTGTTAAATAATACTTCACATTATGTTAACTTACTAGTGTACAAGGAACAACTGTTTATAGGACAGATATCTGTCCACTTACGTCTGATCTTACATGAATTGTAATCTAAAATCGACTAACCATCACTGTATTCATTTTCGGCTTCTAAGAAACCTAAATGAGCCTAGAGTATTTTTTCAAGTTAAAAGATTTTTACATCTTCTCTTTATCTTTGTTAAATGTAGATAGAAAACGATTTCGTGACTTTTGTTGATTTACGTTTGAACTTCAGCGATTTTTTATCAAATATCGACAAGGGTGGGTAGACTGCTTCACATGTTATAGATTTTTGTCACTGAATTTCTGACGTCGTAAAAATAATTGAAACGTTAGATAAAATGCTTGGTTCGCAACCTATTACAATGACGCTAATAAATTCTCTTTGTTTTCGCTGAGATTTTGAGTTCTACGGTTAGTTCATACTACTGTATTCCACCGCGCAGATAGGTCCATACCATCTGGTTGTGGTTCACATGATCGTCGTGATCGATGGCTAGTAACGTTGAAAGATATGACTGAAAGTCGTTTATAATGGTGCAGTTGCATTCACCGTCTTTCCTAGGATACCAAGTCTGACACATTTTATTTCACTATTTCAATGATTTGTATTTTCCATTCAAATAATATCTTGCATATTGAATCTTCATCATTACTAACTACCTCAACTACTCCGGGGTTCGCTTTCGGTTTCATTTCGTTATGAGAATGTGGTACAGCAACTTCAAACGATGTATAAATGTGACAAGTTCGAAATCGCCTATAACTAACTTCCCAAATTGCTTGTAATCCATAGTTGGATGTAATCACTTGCTGTTATAAAGCTATCATCTTTCTGGTATAGACAAACAGGCAGACAGATACAACCCAGAACTTCGTACGTAAGTACATTAGTTGAGGTTGCCATGCCCCATCATCACAGAGACGCGACTGTCAGTTCAAATCCAATAGTAGAAGAGGTAGTAAAGGTATTAGAAGTAATCGGAGAGGTTAGGATTAGAAGATATTATTCGATTAGAAAAGTTTAGGAAGTCAAAAGTAGAGGGATTGAACAATTCAGAAGATTAGGATTTCAGAGAACACAGAGAATAAATGCACCGGCAATCCTTCTGGTATCAATCACCTACGTGAATGACGACGCAGTTAATTTATCGCCTTCTATCACATATGCCTTACATGGCATAATTTATCGTGACATCGTCACATTCAAATAAAATAAAATAAGAAATAAAAAACACCAAATACGTTAGCCTGAATTGCATTAGATTACAACAGAAAAAAAAAATCATCTAACATGTATACATACAGATATGAGTTGTATATAAAGACAGAAAAAAACTGTTTTGCTTAGAAAAACACAGGTTACACAGAGCTTCAATTGTCATATTCATTTATCAGTGTAATCATTATTAATATTTTGAATTAAAGGTAGGAATGACAATCAGTTAGTTGGACGTGAAAAATTTATGCAAAAGAGAAGGCCAGAAACAGTACATTACACACTCCTCACAAACAAACAAATCATTTTTTTTGCTTATGGTAAGCACTATTTCGGCGCTGGCAGTAAGTAGTAGTAGTAGCGGTTTCCTTGAGTAGTTAGTTAATTAGTTGTTCAATCAATTTTTATTTTTTTAAATTTTTCGCATACCGAGGAGAGTTATAAAGAGATTTATTGATCATTCACATCAAAAGGTTACACAATCCATAATATTAATAATAATAATAATAATAAATTAACACTAAGATCTTTTAAGAGAAGGAAACAATAATAATTTGACTGCATTCAATCATCATAAAAAATAAAGAGACCATTTATATATACTTATATGTGCAGAAAAAGAAAAGCTCGGAAAAATTGTCATTTTTATGCCGATCAGGTTTTTCAAGGAAGAAGAAGAAGAAGAAGAAGAAGAAGGCTTAAAAAACAAAACAAAACGTCCTCCTAAACAAAAAAAAATTATGATGCATAGTTGTTATTTCACAAACAAAAAAATAGTTAAAGTAATAATAATAAATTAATAAACAGAACAGAAATCATTTCTGTACCAACCAATATTATAAAAATAAAAACAAATAGTTTAGAATAAAGATAGAATTATGTAATTTGTAACAATAATAGTAATAATAATAATTATTGATAATAATTATAACACTGATAGTCAAAATTACATGCAATAACAATGTGTTTGTGTTTGTGTGTGGGTATGTGTGTGTGTGTAGGTGAATGTGGAGAGAGCACATTTCGAAGAAAAAATATTCCTAAACAGTTAGTTAGTTCTTTTTATTAATTAAGTTTTTTTAGTTAGTTTGTTTGTTTAACTTTTTGGGAATTGAACATTGCAAGACTTTACATGTATGTATATATATATATATATAAGGTGCATACATTTTGAAACATGAACATGATACACACACACACACACATAGAGAGAGATTGAGAGAGAGAGAGAAGTGAATGAGAAAGAAGAGTAAAAGAGTACATACATTCCTCCATAGTAAACTAATTCATTGAATGTTCATTCATTCTCTCCTGTACACACTCACATTGAATAAACGAGATTATGATGAGAAAAAAGGGCACTCTGAAAGACGCAACTAGTAATAAGAACGATAAAGGTGTGTGTGTGTATGTGTGAGTATACAATAAATGACAAACTCCAACCGATCTATCTCCACGGCCAAAAAAAAAATAAGAATAAAACAAATTGATGCTGATGTTAATGAGATTACACATCATGCACATTACATACATTTATCTATTTATATGAAAAGCTAATTTTTTTTAAAAAGTAGAAGAAGAACAAACAACAACAACACAAGCATAAATAAATAATAATTTTTTTTTTGAAGAATTGTTGCTAAAATTTAAAAAAGAAAAGGCAGATAGATAAGAGAAGAGAAGAGAACAGAAACACGGCGAACACATGAATCCTGAGATTTCTTAGTAATTATTTACTTTTTTCAATAAATATATATAATTTTATATATGTATATGCATTTTTTTATATAGTCCGGTATTAATTAATATTGTCTTCGTCAACATGTCAATTATGATTACATTGTGGTTGTCATTTTAGTAGTTAGTTAGTAGTAGTAGCAGTAGTAGTAGTAGTATGCAGTAAATGCTAATAAACACATAACAATACGCTGGATGGAGGAGGAGGAGGATGGATGGGTTGGTGGAGCAAGTGAGATGAACTCTATATAATTAATTCATCATCATCATCATCATTCAAACAAGGTTTATGTCACAATTGTGTTATTGTGTGTGTGTGTATAAAAAAAAAGAAACCAATCAAACAAGAGGAAGTAGAACCAAATAAACATGTGCGCACACATATTATACACTTATGATACAACAACAGTAATCATCAGAACAATACACCATTCAAATGGATCAATGGAAAATTGCAAACAATCAGAGTGTAACAGGGAAAGAAACAACATACACATTATATATATATATATATATATATGTATATGCACCATTATTCATTCCTGTACGAGGCAGACAAGAAAAAATGATAATAGTTCTAGATAAATTGCGATCGAAGATTCCGATTTTTAGCCCGTTGACCAAAGCATCCACAGCATCTAACGTAGATTTACAACAACACAGAGAAGAAAACAACTCATTATTATTATTATATGCTGGTTAGTCACTAGTTATGAAAAATAAGCCATGTTGAGTGTGTGACGGTTATCCATCGCAGGCAATGAATGACAGTAGACCAATGTCGTGGATTGACGTATGGCGACTCAATGGTTCAGAGGTTAGACGTTCCTCATTAGTGTTACATGTTGAATTTCACTAGTCACAACCTCTTTAATAAGTCAGCTATAAACAAATCCTGATCACAAAGTCTTTTGAATACAATAAATTATAGCTTTGTGAACTGTTATATAGTTCACCTCCGTATTGGTATTTATTCTCTTCAAAACGTACAAAAAAGCATATATGTGATAAATATTTTAAACATTTATCTGCACAAAAAAACTAGTTTGATAGTAGCCACTTTGATTTCAAATAATTAGACGAGATGGATTATTCAACGATCTCCATCCGGACTGTTAGTGGGACATAGATGGCTAATTTCTTATCCAATCAGCGCCCGATCGAATCTTGGAGAACAGGGTAGAAGATTCTCGTATTGTTAGCTGCGTGCTGATTGGTTGAATCTAATCCAGTCGATCACGTGAATTTCTATTCAGAAGCTTTCTCATGTAAATGCTATAAATAGACTAACGTTGTATCTATTTTTGCCTTCTTTGCCTTCGCCATCACATTTGGCTTCTTATTTCCATTTAACCCTGCTATTTGGAATATAATCTTTTCCTGTTCAACCATGTTTTTGATTCTTGGGAACTTGTCAGTGTATTGTGGTCAGAGAATACTAAGCTATAGGATTTAGCTGGGAATTATTCAAATAAGCGTTACAACACACACTGTAGCTGCTAGCTTGACGTGGTGGTCGGGCTTGTCTATTGTGATGACCCAACCGAGCTACAATGGCCAAGACATATGAGTTCCAGTAGGTTCTACCATGCTAGGCAGGTCAACTGGAGAATGGTAAGACTAAAAGCAGCAGCTACTACTCAAGGTTTGAAGGTAAGAATTTGTACTACTGTCTGTAGAGAGAGAGAGAGAGCAGTGACAGCAGTAAGATGTTTCCCTCGAACAATCAGCATCTCCGGCGATAATGACTTCTCACAAGGAAGGAAAGAGTTCGATTCAAAAATAAGTGAAAGAGATAAAATTTTCAACTGGTTAATATACTTTCTGTAGTGTCGGTTAAGTATGAAGCATCAACTAAGGAAGGAGTGTACATTATAACTGATGTACTAACATAGAAAAATTTAAAAAAATTCGGACATTTTTAAAATGATAAACAAAATGGATCGGAAAATTCTGTCCGATATCCACATTGTTTATGTTGCAATCTTTTCTCTAGCCCTACTACTGACCAACACAAAAAAATAAAAATGACTACCTACCCAGAGTTGCTTTGTACATCATCTTGTTCTGCGCCAACCATATTTTCAGGTGATGATTCGTTTGCCATTCCAACTCCCATACCTAAATTATTATCAATATCTCGAGGCATAGTTTCTTCCGGACCACCACCACCAACACCACCACCATTATATAAATCGGTTATATTTCGAACATGTGCAACACCGCCAGTATTTGTACCGGATACACCACCGCCGCCACCATATGGTAGTAAACCACTAGAGTTTGAAGTGGGCACAGCACCACCACCACCACCACCACTGCTAACAACACCAACAGGTCCACCATTATCATTATCATCATCGACAATACCGTCATTAGGTGAACCAACTTTGTTTACGCCAAGAAGACCGGTATGTGCAGCATTTTGATTTGTTGTTTGCTAATGAAAATGAGTAGATGATGAATGTATATAACAATGAGAAACTTAATAAATGAATGATATACATTTCAAAATGAAACATTATTAAATTTATGTTAATCTATCTCTTAATATACATATATATACATAAACTAACCTGACCAAAATAGGAAGGTAAATATTCATCAACTTTATATCTTAATTCATTGGGCGATGTACCGCCATCTTCATTGATAAAAGTAGGTGCATTGTTTGATTGTCCAGTAGGTGGCCAATGAGATGTGCCAGGACCTAATAAAGGTGTTCCAGTAAATCCCATTGCATTATGACCATTAGCACCAGGACTTTGCCGATTACCATTCACAGGGTGATGAGTAGGGGAAGTGAGTCCAGATGTGTTTTGTACACCATTATTCATACAACCAGCATTCCCAGTAGGAACATTTGCCAAAGGTGGATTTGCCGCTTGTCCTCCCGATGTATGAGTAGATCCTGAAGGCTAAAACCCATAGAGAAAATGAATAATAATAATAATAATGATAATCGTGAAAGATTATTAAAAAGTAAATAATAAGGAAAACTTCAAGATCTGTAGAAAACTATCCGGTATTTTAGACCTAGTTTTATATATATACGATCGAATTTCGATGAGCAGAGAAATTCATCCGATGAATTAGTGATAAAAACCAGACTTGGTGAAATAAGTATATTTTTTATCAGTTCTTATTAGTGTAAGTGATTGAAATAATATATGCCGGTCTAATAAATACGAAGCATAACGTGAGCTTGCGTTTGACAGTTTAGAGGAATTATATTATTAGCGTGTGGGGGGGGGATTTAAGGAGACTGTAGAATTTTCTTTGTATTAATCACGAACCAATATTCGCTAGAACACTTTCGAAAACACGGACACATTGAATGACTGTGTCGTTCTAGTGTAAGACTTTTTAGTAGTGTGCAATCACGACCCCACATCCAGGGATTAAACTTATCACACTCGACCTTGTGTAGAAACGCTTAACCTCTGGACCACTGAGTTGCCATACAATGGTTTACATATCTCACTTCAATCAATTCACGACATTTGTCAACTGACATCCGTTGCCTGCAACCGATAACCATCACGCACTCAACATGGTTAAACTTCATTTGTGAAGGCTTTTCACTAGAATTCCTGTATTTGTATTTCACAGCTAGTCAGATATGATCACGAGGTTGAATGTCCGTATTTGGGACTATGGGTTCGATTTCTAGAGGCAGAGCTGTGGATTCATATTGCTTAGGAGTATTGTATTCTAAAGAGTTGACCTTCCAGTACTTCCAGGTTTACAAATGATAGTCTTACTAGGATAAGTTCGCGATTTAAATCATAAAAATTATTGTTACATAATGCTGATAATCAATGGATAATTTTTTATATGAATCAAAGTTATGGAGTGGCTTCAATCTTACTAACCGACTTCTATGATGCCCAATTTTTCCAGTTAAAGCAGAGAGGCATCAAGTTCAAACAACAAATTTAGTTGGTGAAGATTCCCCTGCTTAGTAAGTAAATCAATTTAATCCCATGATACTAGACCGAAATTGTGAATTACCTATTTGGTTATTTCACCATGGATTAGTATTGCTTTAGGAATATCTATGAACAAATACTATTGACCTATACACGTTTTCGAATATCTAAGGCCAAATTTAGCATCCACTAATAAGTAAGACAAAGAAAATTGCTGCGTGATATATTCGTCACAGATGGTCCCAAATGTATACAAGCCAAAATTACATCACTCATTGGCTTAAACTCAAATCGGTTGAAACCTTAAAACTAGATAGTTAAATTGAGATGAAAATTTCAATTAACTAGTAAAATAATGAACGACATTAAGATTAGGTTATTTTTTTAATTCACATAGTTTGGTGGTATGAACAATCTACGCACAAGATAATTTAATCACGGCATCTGCACGATACAATGTTAACTAATTATCATCAATTTCGGTAAACATAATAATCCTCTTTAATTACAATCGGTACACACGCATGAGATAAACTATATACCAACCGGTTTAGTGCAAGTCATTTATGTGAAAAAATATAGTCATTTATAAGTACTTTCCAAAATTAAGGCTAGATGATATACATTCACTATTATGTGGTTGAAGTTAGCCGAGCTATGAGCAGAATAACTCATTAATAACGTCTTAAACTGAGGTGCTGGCTGATACTATTTCGAATCCCACAGGGAGCATAAGTTCTCTCAAAGTTGTAGGTACGCCTTGCTGTGAAGCGCCAAAATGTTGAGTCTCCTGTTGAGTATCTCCAATCACCCAACATCTCAAATATAGTGCAGGTTAAATCGACTTATTCACGCTCGTGGCCAGACATTACAACTTGATCGATCGAATTCGACCAGCACTATAGACCGAGACAAATATAACAATGCTCACTATTCAGTGACTGATCTAATTATTATATTCCCTGTACAGTTGTATGATTATGGTGTATATGTACAAATGAAGAAGATAATAGTTTACTTTTGATCCAGGTAAAGGTCGACTGCACCAATCGAATTCCCAGTCACATTCCCAACCTTTTCTTTGCATTAAATCAGTGAATCCCCAACGTAAATACTCATAATTGGGTTCTTCAAAAAAATCTAAACTTCGAACATATCGTAAATAGGTAGCCATTTCTGAAGAAGAAACATGAAAAAAAAGAGACAATAATTTTTTTTAATATAAACAAATTACTACTAACCTGATAAACAATTGAATTAACAACTTTGAATCTATCAATTTTGTTATAATAATTTGCATACACACATGGTGAATAATTACTTAATGATTATTTAATGTACTAGAAACTTCAAGTCATACTGCGGTGCGCGCTACTTATAAGTAGTATATGACGCGAGTGTAAACGTAATGTCTGGCAACAGAAGATGGGGAACACAATGGAATTTGTATGAAACGCATGAATAGTGAGTGAAATGTCAGACAATGGATTGATGATGGATTGAAGATTTGCAAATTAACCGTTTACGATATGGTTTCCCTATTTTACTGAGTAACTCTGTAATTTTCGTTAAATACAATTCGATTGCCCTCACCAGTGTTCTCCTTCACTACAATATTATTGATATGAAAATAAACGATGAAATCACAAGGATTTCAATCATTGAATAGTCACTTTCAACCTTGGTGTTGACTACATCCTGCAACTCACCAGATAGTAATTATATTGATAAAATCAGCATAAAATCTTGACAAAGAAGATAAAAGAAATGGAAATTTATCTACAAGTGATTAGCAACTTGTTCTGTAGATTTTCTATATATATGGTTAGTCATAGTTAGCTCTTGTTCTGTCAACATTGACAAACTTATTTTGATGGTCTTTTTCATTTGACCTTATATGCTTGTTTACAGTTCATTCTGACTAGTTAGTAATATGTTAGTTGAATGCCGTCTAATTAACTTTTTTTTAATATGGCAAGACAATGAAAACTAAAATGAGCTTAATAAGATAAGAAGTCATAGCAAAAATTTTTGACTTAAATATTCACAACTGTCAAGTTAGAGTATTTTTTTAGAAACTTTAAAGAAAATTGGGGAACAAAACAACCTCATAAGAATGCGATGGAGTTTTAAACATGTGATAATCGGAATGATTGGGAATCAACAAACACCACCTACACATATATGCCATTTATGAATAATAGAATATGAGGAAGGCTAACTCATCACTCGAATAAATGTTAACAGAATAAGGAGATCACAAGAGGTGCGAAAGTAAAATACACAGATAACAGATGAAACGATTTACAATTAAAGCTTCCGACTTACATCGCATAAAGCTAGTAAACACAACTATGGGAACTAAAAAACTGTTTGACTTATTAGGAATTACTACTACTATCATGAAGACAATTTTCAACAGAACAAGATAGCGGACAACAATATACCGACAATAAATACTTGTCACTTATCGATGACTGAGAAGAAAACAAACAAGCTAATAAGTTCATAAATTTTGTAAACTGTAACGAGAAGCATTAGCTTCGTCCTTGAATACGAGAAAGCGTTCGACAGTGTGAACAGGGTGACACTACAGCAGCTACTTCGACACTGCAGTGTGACTAACAAGATAATGCACATCGTACGGAATTCTTATGGGGGACTAAACTGTAAGATCGTGCATGGAAGACAGATCACGGATTCGTTACATGTGGAGACCGGTATCCGGCAAGGTTGCTTACTCTCAACGCTTCTCTTTCTTTTGGTGATCAGCTGGATTATGAAGACGACAATAACTGAGAAACACGGGATGTTCAAAAGAAAATATTGTGGAAATTTGTGATCTAACAGGATTTTGAAAAAATATTTAACCCACAGAACAGGATGCTTCGATCGTTTTCTAGACAACGGCATGACTGGATCAACGCCAGGCCCAGAAGAAGAAGCACATAATAACTGAAATTACCGAAGCTGGTAAGCAGCCATAAAAACCATTTTATTTTTTAGGAAAACTTATTACTGGTGTCATCATCACATCATACACCAGGAGAAGACGACCAGTGTAACAACAGCCTCTGCAACAGTGAGCCTCAACATATACAACAGAAAATGCAACATCCTTCGATACCACACAACATGCGGAAAGCATTCAACTGTGTCACAAGACAAGCTCTAACTTGGAGTCCTCAAGACCAAAGGAGGAGACATGGAAGGGATGAACAGCGACTGGGTCAGAGTAGGTTGGAGAATGCTGATCAGTGAGTGACCTGTGCTCCTTTAAGGATAACAGAAGTAAGTTAGTAAGTAATTCAGTTAACTGCTATCATAATTCCAGAAAAAATCCTTCGAAATGTTAAAAAGCTTTGAACGAACATAGATAAGCGTCGGCGTACATCATTATTACATACTGATCTTACGAAAATAATATAAAGATCAATGATAAACATTCACTTCTGTTAAACACGTTACATATATATGTATCAATGGAGTGGATCACCACCCATTAAAAAAAATTGCACTATATCAATCAAACTATACAATACAGTATGTTGTTTTATTAATCACTTCATTCCAACATGAAAACACTATGAACACATACGCACATACAAGAACATTATATTATAAATTATTTTACCCGGATAACCGTGACATAATACATCGATAGGAGTTGCACGTTTCGTATCACCAATTTTTTGATAACGTTCACGTAGATTTTCAGCTTTTAAACCTTGCCAAGGTAAACTACCACGTAGGAAATATAAAAACATATGACCTAAGGCCTCTAAATCATCACGTCGAGATTGCTCTGAAAACGACGGAAAAAAAACAACACCGAAATAAAAACTGATCAATGTTTGAAGTTATATACACAGATGATTAACAATCATTCTTAAACATTCAATAAATGCGGATAATAGTAATAATAATAATATCGATTGAGCAATAATAAGGTGCCACGCCAGCGTAAATAAACTGGATTCGATCCTATGAATTCAAAGTGACCATACCAACTTTTATCATCAAATTAAGTCATGTCTCATGTATAGTATTAGTTAGTCAGTTATATGCAACGTAAAACCTGGAAAATATCTGTGTTTGTGTTTGTTACAAGTTACTAAAGCACGTTAACAAAGTGAGATGAAATTGTCGAAACAAATGTCAGAGTGGCAGAAATAGTAACGTTATCATTATCGGTAGGAGAAAACAGAGTCATTTAAATAGCAACTTTCGGGACTGGTTGAAAAACCCGTTCAAAACAAAAATCAAATATATATGACATATGTGCACATCAAATAGTAACAGAGATCAAGTATATAAATGCATGAAAGAAAGCTTTGCAAATACAAAGCAAATGAACAGGCATTAACATAAACGACCACACTTCAAGTCAAACACAAACCATAAATCTGAAAGAATACAATTGTCCGCTCATTGACTGTTTCAAAACCTATAAAATGGCAGGATGGCTACAACAACAGGTCCAAATGTACCATAACCCAATATGAATAGAGAATGCAATACATCTCAAGTGACAAACGCAACTCCAAACATCAAAGCAAATGAATGAATGAATGAACCTAATGATAACAATGGACATCAACATGTGAAGGAAATAGCAGTCACTGTTATATATGGTATACAAATGGTTCACAAATTCCCGGAAAAGAGTGTAAGACAGAAACAACCATTTAGCCCCGGGCAGTTGTGTCATGTCATTAATGAGTATCTCCAGGAAGGTCTATCGACTTCATCAACCCCCCCCCAAGAGGACTGACTGATAGACGCACAACAGAGAACAATTATCAGTATTGGTAGTGAAAAAAGAAAAGATTTCAAAATTCATTGATATTATTGCATGAAAACGAAGAACACTTTGCTAAACAACCTATTCTATTTCATGTTAAATGTGAATAACGAATAACTCAACACTTTGAAACTTCATTAGTTCACTCATTTACCAGGTGGTGCGCGAATTTATGTGCTTGGGTTTCAAGTGTGAGAGAAAGTAAGTGATACTATCTAGTAGCTCAAATCAAAACAAACAAAGGCGAATTCGTATTGGGAAAACACTTTTCATTCTAATAAACAATAAATTTCCCAACTTTTAAGACTAGTAATACAATGTGGAGCAATGGTTTAATAGTTTTTAAAGCATTAACTTAGTGTTCCCAGTTTGAACCTTAGTCTATCATCACTTCCGTTCGGACAAACTCGTAAGAGGAGATCATTAATCTTCAAACTTTAAGTGTGACATATAATCAAGTACCTTGGTAGATGTCAGATTATCATTTAAACCACAATAAATTTCTGTTACAACAGTAATTATATAGCTTTTGGAAATCTGTAAATCAACTACACATCACCAAAACATGGCACAAATCCATGAAGTCATTGACGAGTGGATTGAGTCATGTCGATAATTGTCGACTAACTGGTTGGGGTCCACGAGATGATAATAATCGATGTTTAGAGACGTTGAATGACATGGCTCAAAATCGTTCGCAATGGCGCCGGTGCATTTATTCTTTGTGTTCTTTCAAAACCTAATCTTCTGGATTCTTCAACTTTGCACACTTTTCCCACTGAATCATACTTCTTGAATAATATCTTCTAATCCTAACCTCTCCAATTACTTCTAATACCTTTACTACCTCTTCTACTATTGGATTTGAATTGACAATTACATCTCTGTGCTGATGTGTTATGGCGACATGAACTGATGTGCTTACGTACGAAGTTCTACGTCGCAACTGACTGACACATCACCAAATGACCAAATCACAAATCATAGTTAACACTTAAATTAGTTGAGCATTACACATACAACTTAATGACTACTTAGATTTAAAAAAACAACAGTTGATTAGATTGTTGAAATGAATACAAAAAACATCATTATCTATCTACCTTTGCCTAAATGTGTATTAATGCTCATATAACGTGCAGTACCAGTGAGACTTTTGTGTTCACGATAAGGAATGTGTTTTTGAGTTTCTGGATCGATATACTCTTTGGCTAAACCAAAATCAATGATATAAATCGTACGATGTCTATTATAATATTGACGTCCAATGAGAAAATTCTCTGGTTTCACATCACGATAAATTAAATGCTTTGAATGTACATATTCAATACGTCGAAGCTGTGAACAGGTGAAGTAAAAAGGAAAGTCAATTGAGTCAATAAATAGAAAAAAAGTCAAATTATTTCACTGGATTATATATACATATACATACATAGATAAAAAGAAAAACTACTGTTTATTATTATTGTTTATTATTTATAATAACAAAGTTTAAATGCCAAGCAAGCAAGACCTAAATTTTTTTTTGAAACTATGTAAACGTTAATATATAGATAGATAGATAGATAAACTAGATCACAATTGATTAATGAGAAATAAGTGTGGTATAATGGAATTTAATTTGTATGATGGTACACGCTGTACGTTCAAATTTGAATTTTAGTCAATTCATCAGAGTTCAGTTAATAACATAAAATGAGACACATTGGCCCAAGTTTGCCATATGACATTGGCACAATTGGATAAAAATTAAAAAAATAAAAAAAGATGAATAGCAAAAGAAATTGAAGTACTACTATAAGTAGCCAATGTGATGTGGTAGTGAGAAGAAAGTGTGTTAGGTGTGGACAAAACGGTCAAAGTATATCGACTATTAAAAATGTGGTTTTTATGCCCTTCATCGATTTCTACTCTACTCTGGACTCATTGAGTATAAGTGCTTGTAATTGTGTATTGCTTATTCAAGTTCTCTATTTCGGTCGTGTATCGTGTGTCTGGTGTTTAACGTGATCTAGTCTCAGTGTGATGTACCGTTAGAGTATATCCAATTCAGTGGTAGTAAAAAATCGATCACTCATTTGATTCACTGTATATATATAATACAGTGGATACAAAGGCATCCAATACTTCCGTCATATCACAATGATACACACGAAAGACTACACATTCGCATATGGTTCTAAGAAATTGGGTAGAGGTATGTGAGGAGAAACACTGGGATACTAGATCGACAAGATGATGAGGAATGAATACAATTGAACAAGTGTGAACCTCTATGAATCTGGTCATTCCAAATCTTCAACAACTGATCGCGTGATTTATTGTGTAGAAGTCAACCGGGTAGAGTGTATCTATCTACATGGCTCCGAGCAATAGTCAATGCTATGTCTTGGTTTGGCCATACTTACCTAACATAAAGATTCTGAAAGTAAATCATGAATGATCGATTACATCAGCTGTATGACTGAACGAAATTGACTGCAATAGTTCCTTCATCTTTATATTAAGAATATTTTTTGATTGGATATGGAAACAGTTTTACTTACATAGCCTATTGCTTTATTAATCTCTTTTCAGATAATAAACTTGTTGAATTCAAAAAGGACAACACTATTAACGAAAATGAATACATACTAATGAAATATTTTTTGACTGGTTTCCTTCTTAACAGCACATAAAAATGTGTGTTTCAAACATATGTTGTTAGGATTAAAAAAGACAAATAACATTTAGAACCATTAAGATAAATGGAAAATATAAATATATCAGTAAACATGTTAACCATTCATTCTTTTCCCTCCGACTGATAGGACGATAAATCTACATTAACTGAATTGTATGAAACATACTCTATGTGTAATATAAATAGCCATCATAAATTTCAATGAGTTAATCTAGTTAGAAAACAAGGTTGGGAATGATTGAGGGTTGTAAAGCTGAAGCATAGAAATAGTTCATGAAATCAGTAACTAAAGTAATGGTGGGTGAATAATCATATTGACTAGATTAATTTCTACAATACCATATGTACTAAGTTCACATAGATGCATTCGGCCTTCACAGTTAAACTATTTTGTATGCAGACTAAGGTTAGTGTGATTCGTTTGCAAAAACAAGGTATGATGAGGATAAGAATAAGTACATGTGATCTAAAGGTTACGAGTTTTGCTTCAACCATTAAACTACATAATTGATAGTTAAAACTAGTGGCTAAGTGACAAAAATCTGGATACCGGAGCAGTTGGGCTGCTGCTATACATTGAACAAAATTATGGAGTCAGTTTAGGATGTCATTAACTAACGGATCGAGAGATATTTTGGTAGGTCTACCGTATATTTCTCTATGGTCAATTGATAACTGCAATTGGTGATTAGAGATAATGGATAATATAGCTTAAATTCGGTTAGAGGCGCGGATAAATCACCACTACCTATATATCTCTTTACATTTCAAGCTCACATTTTTGTTTTGAAAAAAAAACAAGGCAACTTATATAGAAAAAAATTTTTTAAATGAAATCGAAAACACACCAGCTGGATTGCAATCATCAATACAGTTTTCAAGGAGAACTGACGTTTACATGATTCAAATAAATCTTCTAAGGATGGACCAAGCAATTCCATTACAAGCGCATTATGCCGTCCAACTGGTCCAAAATAATAAACCAATGGAAACCCGACAACACCACCACTTAGAAGTATACGGTAGAATCGGTACTCTAAATGTAGCTGAGGAGCACGAGTTTTCATAGGTTCAAGTTTAATGGCAACATATTCATTATTATATATATCACGACCTAGACAAAAGTTATGAAAACAAACATCAATAAAATTAATCATAAAATGAAGTTCTAAGGACAAAAATAAAAACAACAGTTGTTCTAACGGACTTTGAATAAATTTCATTAAAAGAATGTTACTACAATACTTAAGAAAACTTGTGTTTCACTCCAAGAATAGGAGTGCACTAGGCCCCAAGTGCCCTGATATGGTCGAGTCTGCCCCCACCTCTCCAAACACTATCATATGGCTACATATGAATAGCTACTGGCAGAGTTCTACCCTACCTTCTCGTGGTGAGGATGTTGTTTACGAAAGTGAGAGGACGAAAAGCAGATATCTGGCACTCTAACCGACGAGGTAGGTACGGAGGGTTCACATAGAGAAGTTGGAAAGCCCTGATTACAAACTAATGGTGCACATAAGCTTCAGGATCCTGATGAAACAAATGAGGTATGAGTATGTTAAGGCCTGCAGATTACTATGGAACTGCATCTCTTCTTAGCACTAGTAGTTCTTACTCGATAGTCCCAGGATATACGAGTAATGCTTCGAAGATACATATGATCTAATACAAGTTGCTTAAGAGTACAGTTAGTCAGTCAGTCAATTACAACGTAGAACTTCGTACGTACGTACATCAGTTTAGGTTGCCATACCGCATTAGAACAGAGACGCAACTGCCAGCTCAAATCCTATGGTGATGGAGATAGCAAAAGTGTTACTGACAATGGAGAAGATTAGGATTCGAAGATATGATTCAAGCAGTATACTTCAGTAAGGTAAATTTAGAAAGAGAAAGATAGAGATGATGAGGAATTCTGAAAATTAGGATTTGAGAGAACACAAAGTGTGGGTGCACCTGAGCCATTGCAAACGATTTTGAGCCATGTCGTTCCCGAACGTGCTCGCATTGTTGCTTATGGTGGTCCGAAGACTGCATTGTTACAGCGTGTTCACCAGACAGAACTACGTCATCGGCATATTCTAAGTCGAAATTGAATCTTGCAACTAAAGGTTCGATTGAAAAGTCAGACGACAAAAGTGTTGTTTCTAAGAGCATGTCAACGATAAACTTGAATGAGAACGGAGAAAGTAGACAACACTGACGAACACTACTCAGGGTAAACAATGCCGATGACAGTTCGCCATAAGCCCTCACTCAACTAGAAGTGTTCGAGTAGAGAGGTAGTATAAGGTTAATGTACTTCTCAGATACACCTTTCAGTGACAGACACTGCTACAGAACCTCACGACCGACAGAGTTAAAAGCCACCTGAACGTCGTGGAACATAACTATTGTAGGACGTCTGGATGTGTGATCACATTATAGGACCTGACGTAGTGCGAACATCTAGTATATGCATCCACGTCCAGGTCTGAATGCTGCCTAGTTTTTTCGAGTCTGTTCTTTATAAGCTATAGTCAGGCACTGAAGTACTATTGAAGCTAATATTTTGAACACTATATTAGTTAAACTGATTCATCTGTGATGGTTACAAGAGAACTTTTGTCTTTTCTTATAGATTGGGACAGTCAGTGATTGAGATGAGTTATATAGGATTACGTCTAGTTCCCAGATTCTATCTGAGATCTCAGCCAACCAACCATCCTTAAATATCTCACGGGTTAACCTACCACGGTCAGCTGCTCTTCCTCGTTTGAGATTGCCGATAGCCTTTTCAAACTTATTAAGTGTTTGAGAATGAATAACAGCCCCATCCTTTTCAGAGATAGTCTCACAGTCGTAATCGTAATACCAGTTGCCTTGATAAGACTGAATAGTTGTCTACTGTTACCTATCGCCAGCATCTTTTCTATCGCTCTTGCTTTCGTTACGCGCCACTGCTCGCGATCAATGAGTGGGCATTTGATTAGCCTGCACTTTAGGTTACTTCGCTTTTCATCATGTTCAGAGTCAAGAGGGATGAGTTTCTGAGTATCTATCAGTTCGATAGATGCTACTGAAATCCACTGCTTCTCCTTAACCTTATGGTTTACTTTACTAGCAGGTATCACTGTCGTTTCTACAGCTTCATGGATATCGTTCCAAGCTGCTTCGGGGTGAAAATCGCTAACATGGCCGCCTAACCTTCTCTAGTAGAGAGTAGATAGATACGACATAAAGGCAACTGCGAATGTCCTTATCTCTCCCAGCCCTTACAGTCCCGTTTAATCGAACAGCGCATATGCGACTGTCTAACGGGATCCAGTCTGAGAGCTAGTTCTGCCCTGCTATACCTATACCAGAGAAGCCACAGGAAGCAACAGTGGGGCTTCCAAATACACGGAACGTGTATCGAGACGGTCCTTTATCTTGACACGGTGAAGTAAAATTAATCACTGTACTCAGATGCTGTACACGCGTTTCGGAGACGCCGCATACATCAATGGCACGACTACTAGCAGGGCGCCTGTTGTCCTGTTTGGCACAATGTCCGGACATTAAAAAATTAGAACAAGGTTTCAGGAAACCAGGAATAACGTTCCGTGTACTTGAATCGTTTGCATCAGCGGCGCCAGGTGATAAAGGACTGTAAGAAGGGTTAGTCGTGGTGGGAAGAAGTTATTAGAAAGTACAGGACAAATTTGGTATCGAGTACTGTTATTGGTATGTAAGTGGATGTTGCTTCCCGGCTGCCCAAATCGTGGATGTTTCTTGAGGAACTTGCGAAGGGAATCTGATTCGCGTTCGTCTGAGCAACCTGGGAACTTGACTGAACAGCTCAGGAACAATTGCTTGACGCCGGTCATACATGGTCTTTATATGGGAAGTTTGTGAAGTGTTAGCTTCGCTCTTCAAGTGGCCCTACCGCTAGAGACGGAAATCTATGAAGTAAGGTGAGGTGTGACAAGTGAAGAAGAGCATCAATCAGAGCTGATAAACGAAAATATCTGGAAGACCTAGCAACGGTAGCAGATAAAGCTGCAAGAGAAGGAAACATGAGACAACTATATGATGCAACGAAGCTTGTTAGAAAATATCTTAAACCAGAACGACCAGGGAAAAGCAAGGAAGGCAAACCAATCACCGACATTCATGAACGGCGAAACACATGGGTAGGGCACTTTGAAGAACTCGTGAATCGACCAGCCTCGCTGAACCCACCCGACATCTCCTGATTGATGTTGACCCACCGACAACTGGAGAAATCAGTATGGCAATCAGACAAACCAAGAGTAATAAACCGAAATGACCGGGTGATATTCCAGCTGAGGCATTGAAAATAGACATAGCAATAATTGCAAAAGTGTCCCACGCTCTGTTCAACAAGATTTGGGAGAATGAATAAGTACCAAGAGACTAAAAAGATGGACACCTCATCAAGATATCAAAGAAAGGAGATCTCAGCAAGTGTGAGAACTACAGATGCATCACTCTTATCACCAACAGAGTTTCTAACCGAATTCGATAGATACCCAGCTTCGACATCAATAAGCTGGATTCCGTAAGGATCTATCTTGTACCAACCAAATCGCGACACTACAGGTCATTGTGGAACAATCAATTGGATGGAACTTATCATTGTACATCAACTTCCTTGAATACGGGAAAGCGTTCGACAGTGTGGACAGGATGACACTACAGCAGCTACTTCGACACTGCAGCGTGACTAACAAGATAATGCACATCGTACGGAATTCTTAGAGGAGACTAAACTGTAAGATCGTGCATAGAGGGCAGATCACGGATTCGTTACATGTGGAGACCGGTATCCGGCAAGGTTGCTTACTCTCAACGCTTCTCTTTCTTTTGGTGATCAGCTGGATTATGAAGACGACAATAACTGAGAAGCACGGGATGTTCAAAAGAAATTATTGTGGAGATTTGTGATTTAACAGGATTTTGAAAAAATATTTGACCCACAGAACAGGATGCTTCGATTGTTTTCTAGACAATGGCATGAGTGGATCAACACCAAGCCCAGAGGAAGAAGCACATTATAACAGAAACTACCTAAGCTGGTAACCAGTAATAAAAATCATTTTCTTTTTGAGAAAACTTATTATTGGTGTTATCGTCACAGCATACATCAAATGAATGTTCAGTGACTGGGGTAGTTGAGACATGTTAAGTATACTAAACAATCGTCAACCTCTAAGCTGACGTAAAAGTACATTGAAATAAAGCCAGAGGTGATGAAATTAATGGACGGCATTAGTCCATGAAGGCAGCAGATGGTGGTCTGAGCCATGTTGGTAGGTGTAGACTATCTGGTAACTGAGATTGCGATCACCGTAACCGATTGTTGGAGAATATGTGTGACTTGGTTCGACATCAAGTAAATTGGCGCTGATATATTCACTCTTTGTTGTCCTTGACGTTTCGGAATAATTTTAATCTGCTCAGCGAATTGATCACTTTTTAAATCATACAGTCTGTGGGTAATCTCCACCTATTCACCCAGTTCCACTTACTACAAATAATTCGTATGGTTCAAAAAGCAAAAACTACGTCGCAACAAAACTGCAAATCCAGCATGGTAACATGCATAACAATTATTATCTCTATCATGTCCAAAGACACAGAATAGGATCTCTGTAATCTACACAGTGTTTTCACTAACTGTCAGTAGTCTTACGTAGACAATGATGATTAAATAAGAAGTCCAATAATCCCCTCCAAAATATTTCATTTAGAACTGCTCCGACTGACGGATTGTAGACTTACGATTAAAAAACCTCTTAGAAAAAACATGAACATTCGAAATGACTGGAACGCAATCAGTATTCAGTTGACTAATACAGTGGACAGCTCGGATGCAGCTGGAAGATCTAGACTTCTCAGACAATCGAGCCCTTCTATCAAACACACAACGACAAATGCAGGAGAAGACGACCAGTGTAATAAAAGTCTCTGCAACAGTGGGCCTCAACATATACAGTGGAAAATCAAACATCCTTCGATACTACATAACATGTATCAACCAAATCACACTTAACGGAGAAGCTTTGGAAGATGTAGAAACTTTCACATTTCTGGGTAGCACCATTGACAAACAAGGTGGATCCGATCCAGATATCGAGACATTGATTAACAAAAACAAAGGCAGCATCCCAACCAATGGAAAACATCTGGAACCTTGAACAACTCCCAACCAACAACAAAGTCACGATTTTCAATACAAACGTCAACACAGTTCCACTGTGTGCAGTGGAAACTTGCAGAACCACCAAAGCCATCATCCACAAGACACAAGTGTTGATTAACAGTTATCTGCGCAACACACTCAGGATCCTTTGTTTGACCAAACAGCATCAGCAACAACCTACTGTCGCACAAAACAAACAACATTCCAGCCGAGGAAGAAGTCAAAAAAAGCGCTGTGAGTGCATAGGACATATGTTGTGGGAAGCACTCAAATATGTGACACAAGACAAGCTCTAACTTGGAGTCCTCAAAACCAAAGGAAAAGAGGAAGACCAGAGGACACATTACGCCGATAATAGTAAGCAGACATGGAAAGAACGAACAGTGATTGGGTAGAAGTGGAAAGACAGGTCCAGGTCAGAGTAGTTGGAGAATGCTGATCAGTGACTTATGCTCCATTAGGGATTACAGATGTAAGTAAGTAATATGCAGGTTGCATTTATTACTGTCATAATCCTAATATCAGATCAGTTTTTGTTTGTTCGTTGTATTTACAACGTAAAGAAACACCAGTTTATTTTCTGTAGTATACATAATAAGTAACTGTACTTGAGGACAAGGATATGCATAACAGTGCAACAAAAAAAGTAAATCCTTTATCTAGCCGTGATATGAGCCGTCAATTAGTGCCGACTCGGAATATGGTAATTAAAACTGAGACTATTTTTTGTTAGATACAAATACGTAAACAATATACAGAATAAACTAATATGTCAGATGAATACGAAGAATAAGGTACTAACCTAGACGAAGCTCCCCGAAGTTCCCACAACCAATCTTCCTCCCAACACGGAAATTTGGACCGACCAGCAGTGTATTTCCTTCCCGTGAAGAACGCGGCGCATCTTGTTGCATATTATTTTGCTTTCCTGAATGTTGACGTTCGTCTTTTTTCTGAGGTGTACCAGACCCTCGATGACCTCGGTTACTAGTAGAGGTCTGGTTGGTTTGCTGCGTTAACATTCCACTCCTTCAATCAAAATGCAGATCCCGTGCATTTGAACAACAACTGGTTGGTCATATTTTCAACAAACATCAATAAAAACTAAAACGACAAGAAAATGAAGTTTGGCATTATTCAGGTAATCGCACATATTTAGATGGTTGTTTGACTTGAAAAAACGAGGAATTGATTGACAGGAATACTTGAAAAACGCAGGCAAAGTTTATATTGAGTATGACCGAAACAGCAAACTGGTCAGTTCTCTTGTCAAAAGTAAATCCAGATTGTTCTATGACTCACTACAGTAAACCCCCCGAATTTTTTAGTGTCATAGCTTGGGAGGATTGCGATGTAGTTTTTCCAGCTATTATAATGTTTTTCCCTACCATAATGGTAAGAACCAAGTCAGAAAATCTTCCCATTTCAGGTAAAACTGTCCATCAAATCAGTGAAGCTGTAGTTGTTATGTCAGTCAGTTACAAAGTAGAACTTCGTACGTGCGTACATCAATTCAAGTGGCCATACCACATTAACACAGATACGCAATTGTCAGTTCAAATCCCATAATGGTAGAGATAGTAGAAGTATTAGCGGTAATCAAAAGAATTAGTGATTGAAGATATCATTCGACTCGGTGAATGTTGAAAAGCCTAGACAGTATAGTTTACAAGTATTCGTTTACCGTTCACTAAATTTGTAAACAGTATTATGTCGAGTATAGGAACACCTATACACCAAATACTTTCGGTATCCTTCGAAGTTCGGTCATGGTTGACCTGATAGGAATGTTGCGTAATTCAAGAAGCATTATGAACTGAGTTTATAACTATAAAAACATTTGTCTGAGTACAGCAGACCAAAAGCCAGTATGAAAGTCTAAATTGCTTGTAGCACTCTAGCAACGTTTATAGTAAAGCAGGTTTGATAGAGGGTAGTAATAAAGTTATGGGAAAAACGAAGCGATCACTGGTTACACTTAACAATAAAATACTACTGAGGTTCTACTTGATTATCTCAGCACACTTGTTAGAAGTAAATTTGTTTAAACCCCTTGAAACATGTTATTGATCTAATTAGTTTAGTAGGGAGTAAAGTTGACCGCTTCACTAACATTGAGAGACTAAACAGTCTTGATAACCCGGTGTCTCGAGTAAAGTCAAAACACAGAAGTGAAATTGGAAACAAAGGAAGCTGCATTGCGGCGAACAAACATTCATTACTCTTTGTTGTTGCTTTAATGAAAATGGAAGTCCAATATTCTACGTTTGATAATATATTGTGTGCATAAATAACTTTAGAATTGCTAAAACATGCTATGGCATGAACATATCAAGCTACTGGTAAAATTAAAATAGTGAAAACTCCCTTGGCTATAGTGTACGCTTCTATCGGTCTAATAGAAGCTATCAAATAAGATTAGGCGAATCGAGAAATCTGTCATAATCTCCATCAGTAAAAAAGAAATTGCGTTGAAAAATTATCTAAGTAATACTATTCGGCATAAGATGCACCCAGGAAAACCGGATATCAAATATCACTATTGTCATCTAATATTAAAATTCATCACAAAAGCCAAAAACATGAATCTGCAGCAAAGCTGATGCATATTTATGCCATTACGTGTTTAGCAAAGTCAGTCAGTCAATTACAACGTAGAACTTCGTACGTACGTATATCAGTTCAGGTTGCCATACCCAATTTGCACAGAGACGCAACTGCCAGCTCAAATCCTATGATGATGGAGATAGCAGATGTGTTACTGGCAATGGAGAAGATTAGGATTCGAAGATATGATTCAAGAAGTATACTTTAGTAAGGTAAATTTAGAAAGGGGAAGATAGAGATGATGAGGAATTCTGAAGATTAGAATTTGAAGGAACACAAAGTATGGATGCACCTAAGCCATTGCAAACGATTTTGATCCATGCCGTGACTTCCGTCTCACGGACCCCAAACACGTAGCCCACATCTACCAAGTCACTTGTCAGTAACTACATGGATTTGTGCCATGTTTAGATTTGGCCACCCCTAACATTCTTCCAACCTACTCCTACACTACAAAACATAGCTCGTCGAGGCAGTCGGTGGACGGGCATTCGTAACAAATGTCCCAATTATCTCAACTGATGAAGTTTCACTTCTTCATCTATTCATTTGCCATCCATGCCTAGTACTCGTTTCCTAACGACAGCATTGCTAATTCGGTTGTCCCATGATACACGAGCAATGTTCCGGAGAAACCTATGATCGAAAACCAGTAACCTATGCATATCTTCTATTCTGACTGGCCATGTTTCACAGCCATAAAGCAGGACGGGGCGAACTACTGCGCAGTTCACTCGTCTTTTAATCAGCAAACGGATATCTCGCCTACGCCATAAGTGACGCAGGTTCGCGAAAGCCAATCGAGCCTTCTGTATCCGTGCTGAGATTTCGTCACCAACCGGGCCATTAGCACTGAAGAGACTCACGAGGTAAGTCAAGCAGTCTACACGCTCGACTACTTCACTCCCTATCACTAGTTCAGGTGCCAATACAAGCCAATCCTGAGGCAAAATTTTGTGTTTCGAGGGGGAGAAACGCATCCCGAATATGTTTGCATTGTTGCTTAGGGTAGTCAGAAGACTGCTGCACTTTGTCAGCGTCTTCACCGAGTAGGACTATGTCATCAGCATATTCTAAGTCAGCAAGCGTGTTTCCTGGTAGAAGGTCCACTCCTGAAAGATCAGATGTTCATAATGTTAACTCAAGCAGCATGTCTACGACAAAGCTAAACAAGAATGGAGAGAGTGGATAGCCTTGATGGATACCACTTGAAGTAAAGAATTCCGATAACAGTTTGCCATAAGCTCTCACCCGACTAGTAGTGTTCGAGTGGGGAGCCTGTATAAGTTTAATGTACTTCTTTGGTATACCTTTTATTGACAGACACTGCCACAGAACCTCGCGATCAACTGAGTCAAAAGCTGCTTTAAGGTCCAGGAAGATAACTATTGTCGGATGCCTAAATGTGCATCTGTGTTCTAGGACCTTTCCAGTGTGAATATATGGTCTATACATACACGTCCCAGTAGACAACCAGCCCGGTTTTCTCTCGTCTACTCTTTACGAGCTCTAGTTAGACGTCGGAGTACTATTAAGGCCAATATTTTAGAGACTATATTAATTAGGCTTATTTCTCTGTGACTGTCACAAGACTTTTGTCCTTTCTTATGAATTGGGACAATCAGCGACTGAGGCCAGTCAGGTGGGATTACGTCCAGTTTCCACATTTTACCTATGATCCCAGACAATCTGGGCTAAAACTGGACCACTATCCTTAAAAATCTCAGCGGTCAATCTATTAAAACCAGCTGCTATCACTCGCTTCAGATTTCCTACAGCTTTCTCAACTTCGTATAATTTCAGAGGGCTTATATTGATTTTCCATTCAGGATGAATGGGGATCGTGGGCAACCAAAGTGTGGCTGAAGGCCAGTTGAACTGATCCCTAAAGTGTTCTGCCCATTGATCCAATCTTCTGGGTTGAGAATGTATAATAAGACCATCCTTTTCTGAGATAGTTTCGCTAACAGATGGATTTGTAATACCGGTTTCCATGATATGTCGGAACATTGTCTACTGTTTCCTTTTCCATCGCTCTTGCTTTCGCTACCCACCACTGTTCGCGATCATTGCGTAGGCTTTTTATCAGCCTGCGCCTAAGTTGACTCCGCTCCTCAATCACACTTAGAACCAAACACGGAAATCCGTGAAGTGATTTGAGGAGTGACACTGTTAGAGTCTACCTGTTCTCATCCCTTCCTTCCTTGTGAGAAAGTAGCATGGCTGCACATGCTGGTTGTCCGAGGGAAACTACCTTACTGCTGTCACACACCTCTTTAGTAAGCAGTACGAGTTCATACTCACCTTGAGTAGCTGTTTTTAGTCTTATCGTTCTTCAATCAACCTGCCTGGCATGGTAGAACCTTCATTAACATATGTTCCAGACAATATAACTCGGTCCGGTCATCACGATAGGCAAGCCCGACCACCACGACATGGTAGCAACTATAGTTGGTGGTTTTTCAAAACTTATAAATATTTAGATACGAAGTGCTGAGAGTAGTCGTTACGAGAACTAATGCGACATTTTATTGCAGATTTTTACAATAAAAGTCCAGACTGTGAGCAAACTTATCAGTGTCAACAGAAAGCCATCCGACCTGGGACTTTAAGCTGACACAAATTCGAGCTCACAAAGTGAAATAACTATGCGCTGGTGATGAGTTTCAAACACCACATTTTAGTCCCGGGCTTTAAACTGAAAAACATCTGTGATGACCCACCAAGTACTTACTTGATCACAGAAATTTCAGAAACGGGGTTGTTATGGAGATCTCACATAGCAACTCAAACTGCTCGAAATTTGGTCATAGTTATGCAAGTGGCTGGAAACTATTTTAGAAAGACAAGTGTGCTGAATGTCAGAATTCACTCTACACTAGCTCCGGCAAACTCAAGACCGACCGGACTTCAGGATTATTGTTAGCTAGTAACGCAACCTACATCATTCAGATTAAATGATACATAACAGCTACTACTACTTATCAGGTTATTCACAAGTGTAATGAAGCTAATCTAGTTTTTGAAATGGGTTTGAGGTTAACTGCATGTAGGAACCTACAATGTTGAACAGAAATTATATTCCGTCTAATCTAAACATAACAGGACGCATATATATCAGTCCAACACGGTAAAATGAAGTCAGCATGAAAAGCTGTGTGTAACAGTAGGAATAAGATCAACTGATGCATGATAGGTTATTGTAATGGAGAAAAACGTTACACAGATGCGTTACACCTACGAAAATCCCCTATTCAATAGCAACCAAGCCACCACACTGGAAGGTACCAGACGAACCAACAGGACTGTAGCAATAATAGCTAAAAACACAGCGAGGAGGATGAAGATAGTTACTAAAATTTGCCAACTAGGCAAAGAAGAAATAATCTTCACAAAACAATAAAACAACTAACCGATAGGGTGCAAAATCAACATACCCGCTCTTCAGTAAAACAGTACTTCAATCTTCAGGATTCAATGCACAGCAAAAGGTGTCACAAATGCATTGCAAGATACAGTTCTCAGTAATAAACTAAAGACAATCCAGCAAAATCTTAATGCCTAGTTCATAAATAATATCTTTTATCAATAGAGTTAAATAGTTCAGTTCAACAGTTACAGATAGATATTGTGTGGTTTCGAACACATTGATCATGCACCAAATCTTCAACAACAAAAATTCACAGAAGATGAAATTCCAGACCAACAAAATCGACATGAAGAGGTCAAATTTCACCAGCGAAGCGCAGTTTTGAAGAAGTATTAGCTCACTTGTCGAACAGGTAAGCAGTGCCGAATATTCTTCCTAACTGTAATCGTGGACTGTAACAGCCCTTCACAAAGCTACTCTTGAGTGGAAGTTCAAATCCTTAGTATTGTTATCTTCCTGAACCTAAATTGTCAGTCTTACCCTCTCCGGTCTGTTGGTTGCCATGTGTCTATGTCCCAGATGATCTATATATTGTGATGTGGAACAGTATCTTGAGAAGGTTAGTGGTTCTTAACGTGAAATCCTGTTTGAACTCGTGGATTTCTTTAAGTCTAGCACTTACTGGCATCAAAAAGGCCGTGAAATTGGCGCCATCAATCCTGTTTAATGGATTTCAGATTCCGTTTTCGCTGCATCTATATTGCGGTTCTGTTCGTGATTTCCTTATATGCGACTAATGCCCGTAGTCAGAGATCCAAATTAATGAGAAAATCTTACGAAAGTTTGAAAGGTAATAACTCTCAATTATTGATATCTAGAGGGGGGTTGGGCGTGGGGTTGGCGCCTCCATCCCACCAAAAAAACTAACTTACCAAAAAAACGCTAACCAGAAGAAATAATTCAAATCATTTTAACTCTGCCCTGGGAGTTGGAAGAAGGATTATGACGTCGCGTGATGAAAGCCGAGTGGCCTCCTAAGCCACGAGCCCGATGTCCGTTCTGACAACCAGAGCAACCATTCTTTTAGATAAATGGAACGTTCGAACATTGTGGGAGACTGGAAGACTATTTCAAGTTGCGGCAGAAATGAGAAGATACAACCTCGAGGTGCTCGGCATCAGTGAAACACTTTGGACACAGGTAGGACAACTGAGACTAGCCTCAGGGGAACTGCTATTATACTCTTGTCATGAAGAGCAAAATGCTTTGCATACACAAGGAGTTGCACTGATGCTGTCCAAAGAAGCACAAAAGGCACTGTTAGTTATTTCCATAACTAATTGTAGTTATGCCATAACAAACCAATCAGATTGTGGTTTAGGCGCTCACCACGCTATCTAGTCTAACCGGTCCATAAACTTCCTTTGTTGCAAATGACCTATTGATTAAAGGATGTGACTTGATAATTGTAATTTCCTTATTTATTGTACTAATTTAATCGTCTTTTTGTCTAGAAACAGATAAAGTTTAAAACCAATTTGACCTTATTCTTACTATAGCTTTGCCATAGACTCTGTGCTCGCCAGTATTGCGCTTACTGTTCTAGAATTACATCTGTAGGACAAATTAAGTCCTACAGGCACTGATAGGATGGGAATCTCATGGACCCATGATCATTAAAGCATCCTTCAAAACAAAGAGGGAGGACATTACAATGAACGTCATCCAATGCTATGCACCTACCAATGACTACAACGACGACGTTAAAAATCAATTCTACGAAAGGCTGCAGTCAATCGCCGACAGATGCTCACCAAAGGATTTGACCATTCTGATAGGAGACATAAATGCCAAGCTTGGCATGGACAACACAGGATGTGAAGACATCATGGGACGACATGGACTGGGAGAAAGGAACGAAAACCGTAAGAGATTTGCAAACCTGTGTGCCTTGAACAAACTGGTCATCGGTGGCACAATATTCCCACACAAACGCAGACACAAAGCTACATGGATTTCACTGAACCACACTACTCAGAACCAAATCAACCATATTTGTATCAACAAAACGTTCAGAAGGACTATTTAGGTGATAAGTTCGTCACTTAGTATGCTTGAGGCTATTACGAGTTTACCTTAGTCGATAAACGCGAACGAGACAATAAACCAGCGTCCAGGTAGGCTACCCTGAATCCGAGGCTGAAAGGAAAGGGCTTTGTAAGCGTAGAAAGTATATTCTACAAACACTCAGCAATCACAGTACAATCAAGCATACAACTCTCGTTTATTTATACAACATAGGAACGTCCTTGAGACAGTTAAGAAAATAGCACACTAAAGTACACAGCAGCCAATCACAGCCATGGATTTTCCTGGTGGGAATTGAAATCTCAAGGTAATCTGATCAGCCCATGCTGGCAAACGTGAAAACCAAAATAAGGCATTTATCAAGCGAATTTGGGGATCTAACATCCCCAACACTCCTCCCCTTTTAATAGCGTGTTCTCCTGGGGTCGACTTGCATCTTGACTATTGTTCGCCGCTGTCTGAGAGGATACCTTCGGGAACGAAGAACAGCTTGCTGCTGAGTTTCTTCCCGTAGCGGGGCTCTCGGTAGGTTGAGGGTATCAAGCAAGATGTCAAGGGGAAGGCTTTCTGCTCTTGATGGGCGATCTGGGGCTAGCCGTCTGCGTATCTGATTCCGATGACGTGACCATTTATCACCTCCTACCTCCACTTCGTACATAACTCGACCAACCCTTCTGACCACTCTCGCTTCTACCCAAGGACCATGGTTCGTTCTGTAGTCGCGGGCAAACACAGGGCATACCACTTCGTAAGCGGATTGTCTTTGCTGCTTTGTCTCTACTGATGAGGGTGCATTAGTCGGACGCATCAGACTGTGGATCGTTTTCAATCTTCTTTCCATCAGGATTTCAGCTGGGGACTTTTGCTCCGGTAACAATTCATTTGGTGTTGTCCGATAGACGTACAAGAAATTTTGTAACGCTTCGGCTGGCGTCCCCTCCCCTTTTGACTTAAGCAGTGCTCTTTTAAACGTATCCACAAACCTTTCCGCCTGTCCATTCGATTGCGGGTGGTATGGTGGCGAGCGTAAGTGTTTAATGGCTAGCCGTTGACAGAAATTCTGGAATTGGGAAGAGGTGAATTGAGAGCCATTGTCGGATACGATCACATCTGGTATGCCGTTTCGTGAGAAAATTTCAGTTAGGAGCTGTATAGTCTTAGTTGTAGTGGGCGGCATAACGGGGCTGATTTCCGGCCATTTGCAACAGGCGTCGACGACAATTAAATACATAGTTTCATTTATTGGGCCAGCGAAGTCGATATGTATCCTGGACCATGGATGCTCAGGTTTGGGCCATGAAACCGGCGGAATTTTGGCATTCATCTTTGTCGCCTGCCGACACCGCATGCATTTTTCAACCAACGCTGTGACATGTTGATCCATGTGAGGCCAGTATGCATAACTCCTGGCTATGGACTTCATTCGTTTTATCCCAGGATGACCAAGATGGAACTGTATCAGCACTTTTGCACGAAGGGATTCTGGCACCACTACTCTTTCACCAAACATGAGACAATCGTCCACGATGCATAGTGACTCCCGCCGCTGATGCAGTTGCTTCATGTCACCTTCAAACATTTTCGACGGCCAACCGTTAGTGACATATTTCATCTTCATCTTGATGATGGGGTCGTTTCTAGAAGCATTTTGTATGTCTGTTGCAGACACCGGTAATGCGCGAACTGCGGTTGTCAGATAACATTCTGCGTGGTCTTCTACTGACAGAGATGCGATCACCATGTTTTCCTCAGCCGCCACTTGATCATTAATGAGTCGTGACAAAGCGTCTGCTTGACCGAATTGTAGAGTACGTCGATACTGGATTTCGAAATCATACCCCAAAAGTACCAAGGCCCATCGCTGAAGACGATTTGCAGAATGGGCTGGAATGCCAGACTTTGAACCAAATATTGCTAACAGAGGCTTATGATCTGTGAGGAGCGTGAATCTCCGACCGTACAGAAACTTATGGAAACGGCGAACAGCAAACACAAGGGCAAGAGCTTCTTTCTCTATCTGGCTATACTTCTTTACTGCTGGGGTCAGTGTACGGGATGCATGCATAACGGCTTTTTTTGACGCGTCTGGAAACTGATGTGAAATAACAGCACCTAGACCATATGCTGAAGCGTCTGCTGCTACGATGATCGGCATGGATGGATCGTAGTGTGTTAATAACAATTCCGAGCTAATTATAGACTTGAGTTTACCAAAAGCCGCGTCACACTCTCTAGTCCAGTTCCATGTGCTATGCTTCTGCAGTAGACAATTCAATGGAGCGCGAATATCATGCATCGAGGGAACAAAAGCTGAATAATAACTGATTAAACCGAGAAAAGATCGTAATCCGGAAACATTAGTGGGAGTGGGCATCAGTTTGATAGCTCGGATGTTTTCAGGATCCGGTCTGCGACCGTAGGCATCAAAGATGAATCCGAAATACTTTATCGACTGCAATAGAAACTGGCATTTTTCTGGGCGTAACCGGAAACCATTGTCACTGATGCGTTGTAGTACCAATGTCGTGCGTTTCCGTAGCTGTTCTAACGTCTTCGCAACAATCAAGATATCATCGAGATAAGCTGCAACCCCTGAGATATCTGACAGGATAGTATCCATTAGTTGTTGGAAGATAGATGGGGCAGTCTTAACTCCAAAAGGTAGACGGTTATACTGGAACAAACCACGATGAGTGTTGATACTAAGCAGCTCTTTAGATGCTTCATCGAGTTCCACTTGCAAATAAGCATCAGCTAGGTCAAGCTTTGCGAAGAACTTTCCCCCATTCAGCATAGTGAACAGATCTGCTGGGACTGGCAGAGGATAATGATGCTGTTCTAGAGCTGCGTTGAGACCTGTAGAGAAGTCAGCACATGTACGTATCGTGCCGTTGGCCTTCTTGATAACGACTATAGGTGCTGCCCAACTGGAGTAAGAAACGGGAGTAATAACTCCTTGTCGTTGAAGGCGATCCAGCTCT